AAAAACAGTTGACAGAAAAGTTAAGACCTCAGAAGTTGTCAGTAGTAACACATTCTACTTACTGCCCCTTTAAGACAACAACAGCATGAAGTAGGATAAAATTTTCGTTTAAGTTAAGGTTTTCAAAAACAATTCCTTGCTAAGCAAAATGGATTTTGTTCATCAGATCTCTGTCGTTTTCATTGTTGCCCAATTCCTGCTTGCTTTCGAAATCCGTTTCGAATGAATTTCTGGATTCTTTCCCTCTGCTTACCTCCGCCTCTCCATCATCAAATCCATCATAGCCTTGCGAAGGGAGATAATTCTGAGACAATTCATATGGCGAACACGGATAGCACTGCTGCTGAAGAATGACTAATTCTAATTTTGATTTTAGGATGCTTTATGTGGAACTAATCCTAGTCCAGCTCATTTGTGAGTTCAAGGGTAGATTATTCTTTTCTCAGAAATTCATGTTGAATTTTTTTTTAACTCTAGAACAAGAAACCAAGACTTGTTAGTCCGCTTCTGATCTCTAAGTACTGCGGAGAAACCCCGAAGAATACTCAAAGTTCTTTTTGCATCTTGTACTACAGTAAATCTCAGGATTAGCTACACTTGGCACAGGCCAGGTTCATTTTTGGAGCCAGGTATAGTCAACAAACAATTTGCTCACCTCCTTCATTGTGGCTAAGCCTACACTGTCGTTCTTCTTGCCGTCCCCGTACTTACCGACATTACTTCTTCCGTCCTCGCCCTATTTTGCCTTGAAATCGAATTTGTATACGGTACTTAACTATGAGAGTGATTCGGGTCCAGCACAGAATTCTTCAGTCTAATTGTCAGTAACTATGATGGAGCATAAACCTGAATGATTCTAAGGGTTTTGTTGGAACCTAGCCTCCTGCGAAGGCACACGCCTAATCGAAATTTCGAAAACCACAGTCATCTTCGAAACCGTTTTGTTACGTTGATATTTTGCAGACGATTGGACATAAAGTGTAAAATCGACAAACACACCTTTGCACTTAGAAAATTATAAATTTTATAATTAAAACTCTACAAAATAGATGGGATTAATAAAACTGACTCACATGGCTGCGTTTCCTCCTTTTTTTATCATCGGGATCCGGTGGTTTACCAAAAGGCGTGCAAATGACACAGTCTTGGAAGTACTGGCGTTTTACTCGATGACGGCAAGCGGGAAATACAGAACATGCATTCTGTTGGGTTACGAAACAGTGAAAGCCCAATAAAATATATACACACTAATTTATATTTTATTTACATGGGATAGCTGAATTTCAAGGTTTAAGCCCCTGATCATGCTCAAAGCTGCAAACTCCAGGTCGCATTATGCACCATCCCCTAACCTATGATTTTAAATCAAAATTTAAATATGTAGCTTAGAACAAAACGAATTAAAAAATCAGACTTTTCGGGTTTACTTCAAATCTTCAGTAATGTAGAATGAATGCCTGAAAACCGGATTTAAAATCTTCCTACATCGCAAATTGCAGTCTTAGTTTCATAAATACAATATAATTCCCATGACCGTAAGATTTTAATACAATGAATGGGACAAAAAGCCACGGCGACTGAAAAATTAGACAAAAAGTATTTGGAATTTTTTTCATACTCACTGTTTACAAATTCTATGAAATATTTACCCAATCGTCCCGCTTTCATGTCGACAGTCTAGACTAAACACGCGCGTCAGATAAGTAGTATCCGGAATCCGTTGTCCGAGCAATTTTTTTCCCTTTTTCGAATAGAAGAAATTCAACAGAAGAGAAATAAACAAATCGCTAACATCGGCCTTATAGATGCTGTTGCTGAGCAGTGAGCGTTTGGCGCGAGCAGCGAACCCACTCATGTCATTGCTACAATCCACGCATTTCGGCTGTTTTATATCGCCTAGCTGCAAAATGAAATCTCTAATTTTGAAAGCCATGGTATGTCACCACAGTATACTTTTATAAGTTTCACATAAATCTGGTATGCGGCTTCGAAATAGCAGCCAGCAGTAGCGTAACATGCACTTTTCGAAACTAAACACTTTGGAAGACTTTGTTGCCCGCATTTTCAGTAAATTTTACTTCATTTAACAGAAAAATCTTAGAAAATACTTTTAAGATAAAATGCGCTGAATACGTTACGTAGTGCTAATTTCCAAATAAACAGCCGCGAGCACACATTTTTTTTACTGTCAAATTCAGCTTTAATCATGGTCGAATCCAAGAGGAGCGGGACCGATGGATCCCTCCCCCCTTCTCCTCTCCCACCCTTTAGTGGGACAGGCATCACTGCTACAAAATCCGGGTTCAACGCTAACACTGAAAAAAAAATTTTTCTAAAACTCAGTCGCCCCTCCTCTCCAAGGAGCCCCGTTCTCTCCGCTCGTCGTTGCACCAGCACATCCATTTTCCTCCCCTCCTCCGCTCCCCATCGTCACCGCTAGGAGCCCCGCTCTTCCTCCTGCCCCACCTCGGGGAGAGCCGCCCTAGATCCGCCTATGGCTTTAATGAAGCATTCCACTTCGTGTATTTGCGGGTGAACACTCAGGTTGGGATAATGTTGGCATCCTTCTGACTTGAGAATCAGACTAAGTTGAGGACTGTAATTTTACGAGGATGTTCACTGCCCATGCGCAGGCTCGCATTCTCAAAGTAAGCTTTTAAGTACTGCTACACCTCGCGTGCCAACATGTCAGATTTCTGTCTACGAAATTATTGACATTCTTTTCTCACGGCAGTTAGAAGCTGACATTTCACGAGGCCTCACGGTGTTACGCCACCTGCTCAGCCAGCAGCTCTGTCTCCGAACGTGAAAAAAAAAAAAACCAATAAGACTATTTCCGAAATGAATTCACAAATCAGAGAGTTAATCAGTGAAAGTTCTTACCATCTTCCACCTTATTACTCCTTTTATTGCATGAAACTGGGCAAAAACATATAATTGTATCGATAACATTGATTCGCATCAATAATACTCAATGATAAGCACAAACTGACCTAATGATTATGAAATGTTTAAGAAGGACAAGAGAAGCTATTTTAAAGTATACAAAGCATACCAGTTCCATGTATTCCTCGTACTTTTCCATAGTAAGGCAATCATCGGTTTGTTCGCACCCACCGTCCGAATTCTCAGAACTCTAAATTCAACTGCTTCAGATAAAATGTTTCTTGTTTAATGTTAAAAAAACTCCTTATAAAATAAGGCTTTGGAATTACAACTGGTATTCATATCATTGATAATCCTCTCCTCTCTTGTAGTCCAAACCAGGCAAGGCCAATATTTTGTAACTCGAAGGTTGCGCCATCCTGAGGTTTGACGAATAGTGTTGTAAGACAATTTGAAATTAATCTGCTTGATCAACTGAGTCTATGAGTTGCATTTTAAAACATGCGTTTCAAGCATGTTTATTGCCTTTAATCTTATTTTTTTCGTATTCTCCTGCATCTGACTTTGTTATGCGTTTTTTGCTGTGTAACAGCAGTACAAAACGCATATTGT